CATAATGAGATATCATCTCTTCCCTGATAGAATAGTAATAATATATTTGAAAGTTGCTGAGAGAATCTTGAAAATTCTCATGACAAGGAGAAAATCTGTTAGCTATGTAAGTTGATAGATATTAACAAAACTTCTTTTATTGGTCATTTCATAATATATACATATATCACATCATTATGTGGTACACCTTAAACATACACAATGTCGAATGTTAATTATACCTTGTTAAAACTGGGGGAAAATGGATTATTTTTTTTTACCTTTCCTACATTTTCTAGACAGTGGGAAAGAAAGAGAATTTCTCAACTTTATTTTTATAAAAGAGCATTGTCTTATTACCAAAACTAGACAAAAACATTAAAGAGAGAACATTTTAGACTGATATCTGTTGTGAATATGCACATAAAACATTTTTAACATATTAATATATCATTCTGGAGAATATAAAGAATAAAGCATCATGACTAAATAGGATTTTAGCCTGGAATTTAAGATTAGTTTATATTGAAAATAAATGCAATTCACTATTTTAACAGAAAAAATAGAAAAACAAGTAAGCAATTATCTTAGATGAAGAAAAAGCAACTGACAAAACTCAACATCCATTCACGATAACTTTCAACATAAATGAATAGAAATTAATATCCCCATTCTGATGCAGGATACCCACAAAATAACCAACAAATATTATACTCAATGGTGAAACATTATCCACATTCACCTTAAGATCAAAAATAAAGTAAGGATAGACGGTCTAACTTAACATATTAAATAAATATTAGGGACTCTAGTCAGAGTAACTTTCATGGAATATCTATCATGATGATTGGTAAGGAAGAAGTAAAATTATCTTATTTGTAGATAATATTATTGTATAAAAAATGTAATAAATTTACCAAAAATACTAGAATAAGTCACAATTCATAAGAGAATTTCTTAGCTTATTTTTATATGTCAAGGCATCAACTCCAATTGTTTGTTCTGTTTCCTGATTATTATTCTTTTACTGTAAAAAACATTTTATTAATAATATAGGATACCACAGTTTTCTTAAGAAAAGCTCACTGAATTATTCTGGGGTAAATGGATATAATACTTCAGAATTGCTGTCAAATTGTTTAGAAAAAAATTAAATTTCTAATTGATTTTGAAAAAAAAAATAGATTTCTACTAGACTCTCAAATAGTTTAGAAACAGTAGAGAGATATAATAATAAAACAAATATAGAAAAATATAAATACATGAGGAATATGTCTAAGGGATATGAAGATGCTTTTGAATAGGTCTTTTAAATTGTCTGTAAGTTTACACTTATTTCAAAGAAAGATTTAAGAAGCAACAAAATATATCTTTAAGACTGGTATTATTATGATAGATTGGGAAACAATGGAAATAGATATAGATGGGGAAACAATAGAAACAGTGACAGACTTTATTTTCTTGGGCTCCAAAATCACTGCAGATGGTGGTGGCAGTCTTGAAATTAAAAAATGCTTACTCCTTGGAGGAAAAGCTATGACCACCTACACAGCATGTTAAAAAGCTGAGACATTACTTTGCTGACAAATGTCTTTATAGTCAAAGCTATGGTTTTTCTAGTAGACGTGTATGGATGTGAGCAATGGACCATAAAGAAGGCTGAACACCGAAGAATTGATGCTTTTGAATTGTGGTATTGGAGACAACTCTTCAGAGTCCCTTGGACAGCAAGGAAATCAATCCAGTCAATCCTAAAGGAGATGAGTCCTGATTTCCTTTAGGAAGGACTGATGCTGAAGCTGAAACTCCAATACTTTGGCCACCTGATACGAAGAACTGACTCACTGGAAAAGACCCTGATGCAGGAAAGATTGAAGGCAGGAAGAGAAGGGGATGACAGAGGATGAGATGGTTGGATGGCATCACCGACTCAATAGACATGAATTTGAGCAAGCTCTGGGAGTTAGTGTTGGACAGGGAAGCCTGGTGTGCTGCAGTTCATGGGGTCACAAAGTGTCAAACGTGACTGAAGGACTGAACTGAACTGACTGAATATTATGATGGAAAATAAAAATATTATTAAGATCTTTAAAACATTAAATGAGCACAAATATATTTAACACAGAGTGGCAAAATCCTAATATTGGAAACTAAATATTTATATTGAAAAATAAATATTGAAAACTAAATCATTCCTGCAAGGCATTGGAAAAGACCTACATAAATAGAAGCTAAGCCACATACCTGTATGAAAGATTTAATGTTGTAGATGCCAATTCTACTCAAATTGAACTGTAGTTTCAATACAATACCAATTAAAATCTCAGCAGACTTTTATGGTAGAAATAGAAAAGATGGTTTTAAAATGCATTTGGAAATGCAAAATACCTGACCAACTAAATCAATCCAGTTAAAAAAGAAAGAGAGAAAATATTGGAGGAGTTTTACTACATGGTTTCAGGAATAACCAGAAAGCCAGAAACTAAGATTGTAGTAGAATAAGAGATCACACACACAAAGAGATCAATTGTTCTGAATAGTTTTTCCAGAAGTAGATCCATATTTATGTGATCAATAATCAACATAGGTGCCAAAATAATTCAATTGGGGGAAGTGATGCTGGAACTATCAATAATCAGATGGAAAATAGAAGGATGGTTGACATTTCTTACACTATATTCTAAAACTAATTTGAGACACATTGAAGTCTTAAATCTAAGAGCTAGTACCATTAATCTTCTAGATGAAAAGATGGAATATAACTTCACTATATTGAATAGATAAAGTAATCAGTTATTGTAAAAGAAAAAAAAAATAAAGTATACATCATCAAAATTAGAAACTTCTGATGGACAAAACAAAGCATATCAGTACAATGACATTCCAATCTGCAACTTGAAACAGAATGCTGATATACTCAACAATATGAATGAATCGCAGAAGCATGTGATGTGAAAGAAACCCCACACAAAAGAATATATAATACGTGATTCCAGTTATCTGAATTTCTAAAACAGGCAAAACTATCTATGGAAAAAGTTTGTAGGAATAGTTGTCTTTTGGGACCTCTGTGAAGGGACTTGAGGGAATGTGTTTAGAAATGTAAAATTCTCATATCTTGATGGGAGGTAAATACATTTATCAAAACTCATCACGTACACTTGAGATCTATACATTTCACCATACACAAATTATACAAATATTTTTAAACATTATTTTTAAATGGTCTGTAAAAGGTAGAACTAAAGAGGAAAAAAGTTATCTATGATTGGAAAGATAAGTATAGATGTGACAACAAAGTACAATAGATGGGTATCAGCCATTTACTTACTGGGTTTCCCTGATTTTCTATACATTTAGCTTGTGCTTATTAGAAAATTTGTTTTAATTATCTTCTTCCATCTGACTGGCTTATAGGCTGATCAGAATTTCATTATTTATTTGTTTAAATGTTCTGGATGGTTTCTTAGTCAGTTGATTACAAAGTCATTTACATATTGTTCATGCATATGTTCTAGTTAGAGAAAACCTGTCAATTGTCTATATAGGCAGGGATAATCTACATAGGCAAAATGCTTCAATAGAAAATCTATAGGAACCCAGTCATGTTCTAGAATTGATACCTTATTGATATTCTATTATATTTCTATTTCATTATGGAGCTAAAAATATTTTACTTTCTACTATAATTGAAATAGTAAGACAAGTAATTGCATGTGAAATTTTGGACCTTTGTGGATGGTAACAAAACTTAATGACACTAATAGGCAGTGGCATTGATACATTTTTTTATTGAAGGATAATTGCTTTACAGAATTTTGCTATTTTCTGTCAAACCTCAACGTGAATCAGCTATACATATACACATATCCTGTCCCTTTTGAACCTCCCTCCCATCTTCCTCCCTATCCCACGGCTCTAGGTTGATACAGAGCCCCTGTTTGAATTTCCTGAGCCATACAGCAAATTCCTGTTGGCTATCTATTTTACACATGGTAATGTAGGTTTCCAGGTTACTCTTTCTATATATCTCACCTTCTCCTCCCCTCTCCCCATGTCATATCTGTGTTTTACAGATATCAAGGATGATTACTGTCAAAATATGAATAGGAAATCAAGGAATGATTCAGTTAGATGTTTTTCTGATATATGTATATAAATTAAGTAAAAATCTATTTGAAGAGAAATGCCCTGAAAAGGGGAAATGGTTAGTAGTTATGTAATAATAATATGGATTTAAAAGGGCAAATTGGTAAAAACAAACTATAAATAAATAATTATTATTATTTATAATTTGAAATTATATAATTTTGCATAGAGGTAAAATCTCTAATATATTCTGATTTAGTTTTCTCCATTTGAATACTTTCATTATAGAATCATTTTTCCAGAGAACCATAAGATGTAAGTTACTACATGTAAACAGCATTACTAAAATTTGCCTTATATACACATATTCAAATTGAGATTAGTCTATTGTAATTTTGTTCTGATCATGTGCAAAATTATTTTAAAGATACAAAAAGGTTTGTCATTTCGAATGTTTAATCATTTTACCTAAGGGGAAAGAGTGACTATGGTAAGACTGGATCGAATGACAGTATGTCCACTCTTAAATTTTATTCCTGGCTGTTTGCCCAGTTTTTTTGGAAGGTCTTAATCATTTTGTGCCCTGATGATGGCCAGAGGTGAAAAGAGACAGTGTCTAGTGACTTAAAACAGTTTGAATGAGGTAATCAAACAGAACCGGAAAGTTACCTTCTATCTCTGGTGAAGTACAACTGAGAATCCTGAAGGGGTTCACCGAAGAAGAGATGTTGTAATTAAAATAGCATTTCATTTCAATCGCCTACTTATTCATTCAGTTTAAGTCAATAATGACAATGGGATCTCTCAGGGTGATTCACTAGCTGCAAGGAGGGGAAAAGTGCCTGAAGGTTAACGCTCTTGGAAAAAAGTTAAATCAATGCATGCTCATTCTGGTCTTTAGATACTTCATTGATTTAATTGTTCTGTTTCAGAAATATGAGATGACGTCAGATACGTGGCTGTCTAAACAGGTATGGTATAGGTGGTCTCTTTATGCCACATTTTGTCATCATATCTACCCTATTCACTCTTTTGTTTTATATATAACTTTTTCTCAAAAGTTATTTCAGTTGTATGAATTTAAGACTCTGTTATGTTTGAACAAGTGAGTCTTTTTCGTTAAAATATGACTTGGGTTTTATGACATCATTTGTGGAAAGATTACTTTGTTTTTGTTTTTGTTTTTTTTTTTTTAATAGAACACAAGTTGTTGAATCATTACCAGGATCCATTTTCAGGACCACTCATAAAAGTAAATATTTGTGTTGAAGAAAAACGTGCAGCTCATATAAACTAGGAACCATCAGCATTGGTCAAGTTGCCCAGAAAGCTGACCAAGTCTCCTCATAAATTGCTATTCAGATGGGCATTTCCTTAGATATTTTCTAGCTTACACAGTGCTAGCTTGTGATATAAATGGAGCTAGAATCCAGATGATCACAAATGTCTGCACAATATACAGTCTAACTGGATATTTCAGAAAGAAACACAAGATTATTCAAATGTAGATAAAGCCATTTTACTACTAACTTCATCACTGCATTTTGCAAAGGACGTGTTTGGCTTGGCTTGTTTGGTTTTGATTTGTTTTGTACTTTACAGTGCTCTATTATTTCATGTTCTCTCCCTGGGTGTCATATACGTCTGTGGTTTCAATTGCTACCTCTGACGATATGGCCCCAGGCAGCTCAACTCTCTGAGTTCTGATTTGTATACAAACTCATGCTTGGCATCTTCTCCTAAATCTATAAAAGAAACAGCATAGTCCTCAGGTTCAAACTAAGCTCTGTTCTCTTCCAGTAAGTCTGTATTCTTACCATAGAAGCCACAGATGTATTTATCCACCCAGCTATCAAAATCATAAACCTACTGAGGATTATTGAACTTTTCTTATCCTTATCCGCATATGTTACTCATCACCAAATTGTTTTGATTTTACCCTCAAAGACTTCAAGTCATTTACTTTTCTCCAGTTCACGAACACTCTACAGGATCAAACTATCAGCGCTGCATTTCCTCCTTGACTGGTGAACTCTCAGTCCCTTAGGAAGCTGCCAATCTGATCTCCACATTTCAGCCTGGAGGAGTGATCTTTTCAAAATACGTATCTAATTCTACTGCCCCAAACACTCTGATATTCTCTCACGACTGAAAACTTTTATCTCCCCTTTGTTCCACAGATAAGGACCAACATCCTTAAAGGGTCTATAAGAGATTAATTTGAAAGCTTTTCCAGCTCTGTGTCATATCATCTTTTCTCTCATTTTCTCCACTAGCCCTCATATTCACCAGACCTTTATGTGAACTCTTCCTGCTGAACAGAATTTTCTCAATTGCTTTCTTTCCTGAAAGTTGCTTATTTGTCAAACTTCAGCCTATATCACCTGCTTAAGAAGTCATTTCTTCAAACTACCCTAATCAAATAACATCCCCCAATAAAACTTAAAGTCCAGTGCAATATTTATGTAAACTTACACAGTTAGTTCTGATTTTTTTTTACAAGCTTCAGAAGGTCAAGAATGTTGTTCATTTTTTATTATTCATTATATAACAAATGCTTAAAATACAGTCTGGTTATAAGAAGAGTTCCATATGTACCTGTTGAATTAAAAAAAAAAGTAAGAAAGATTGTGAATAGGCTGTAGGTATATCTATCTCCCTATCTGCCTGTCTGTCTATCATCCATCTGTCATATCTCTCTCCATAGATAACAAGGTGAACTATTTAATCATAGTCAATGTGCAAAATTAAGTTGAGGGAAAAACTGACTTTATTTAACAAAAAAAAAAATCAAAATTAAGTTAAATACTGAAAATAATTGAAAATAATAACAACAGATATGGATTTATTCTAAATTACCTGCATTATTAAACCTACTTTAATTGTCAGTGACATTCATAATAGTCTAACATACAACAACACAATGCATGAATTTTTAGGATTATGTTACCTACATTTTAAGTCCCAAATTTATAAATATTTAATAGAAATGAAAAAAAAAACAGTTATCAAGTATTTAACAAGAAAATCTAGGGAGTAGTTTGTTGCAGTTGATTTTTTCTTCAAAAGTTCTGAGGGAATTTCATGTAATACTTAGAATTCAGTGAAATTAAAAGGATGAGAAAGTGTAATGAGGTGAAGCAGCATTCCAAGAAAATTAGACATTTAATGTAATACTCATGCTTGTTTTCTGTTTGGTGAGAAGAGCAGAGAGAAGTGGGCATGTTTCTCCTAGCTTTCAAGAGACTTATAACTTGAATAACTGGTGTAAAAAATGTTTGGTCAAGAGGTAGAGTGTGTTATCCTCAGTTCACTGGCCTGTGTGTGATAAACATTGCCTTGCTTAAGATCATAAACATGGACCGTGAGATTGGCTTTTTTCTTTATTTGATTGTAGAAAGGCTCTATATAGAGCTGTATAGCTAGTTTCTGTCCAGTGGTGAAAGTTTTTGAACCCAGAAATGTATTAGTAATTATAACCCCCATCTATTCCTTAAAATGAACTATTCCCAAGGTATGAGAGTTGGAGGAAGAGGGACTAACATAAAAAGGACAATGCTCAGATTTAATTTTGGAGTAAAGCACAGGAGCAGAATCTTGAATAGGGAGGAGTCAATAGTTTGGAGAAAATGTAGTGGATAAAGTGATATACGTAACAAATATTTTTGCCCATTGTACACATGCATTCATCTGTGCAGTTATAAGTAGGTCACCTACTGTATCCTAGGGAAAAAAAAAAAAGATAAAATTGCAAACTTAGTTTAATTATTACTTGCCTAGTGAAGGAAGTCAACCATATAATAGAGTGCACTGAAAGTCATGAGAGATGAATACAGAGTACTACTTAGAGTCTCCAGGGAGAGATTTCCTAAATAAGAGGGGCTTTCTAGCTACAGAAATTTAAAAATGGTTTCTGTTTTGAGTTTAAGTAAAAAATGAGGAAGATACAGGACAAAAAAGATGAGCTAAAGATTACTCCGGAGAGAAGAAATCCCATTGCAAAGGCAGAGAGAGATATTACATATAGGCAAGGGATAGAAAATACAGAATTCTTGACTCTATCATAGTTGCCAACATTCATTGGTTCACAGAAAAATCAAGAGAATTTGAGAAAAGCATCTACTTTTGCTTCATTGACTCTGCTAAAGCTTTTGACTGTGTGGATCAAAACAAACTATGGAAAAGTCTTCAAGAGATGGGAATACCAGATCATCTAACCTGTCTCCTGAGAAACCTGCATGCAGGGCAAGAAGCAACAGTTAGAACCAGACATAGAACAATAGACTGGTTCCAAATTGGGGAGGAGTACATCAAGGCTGCATATTGTCACCCTTCTTATTTAAGTTATATGCACAGTACATCATGGGAAATGCTGGGCTGGATGAAGCACAAGCTGGAATCAGGATTGCCAGGAGAAATATCAAGAACTTTGGATATGCAGATAACACCACCCTTATGGCAGAAAGAGAACAGGAACTAAAGAGCTTCTTGATGAAGGTGAAAGAGGAGAATAGAAAAGCTGCAATAATACTCAACATTCAAAAAACAAAGATCATGGCATCCAGTCCCATCACTTAATGGCAAATAGATGGGGAAACAATGAAAAGAGTGACAGACTTTCTTTTCTTGGGCTTTAAAATCACTGCAGATGGTAACTGCAGCCATGAAATTAAAAGACACATGCTCCTTGGAATAAAAGTTATGACAAACCTAGACAGCCTATTGAAAAACAGAGACATTACTTTGCCAACAAAGGTCTGTCTAGTCAAAGCTATGGTTTTCTAGTAGTCATGTACGGATGTGAGAGTTGGACTATAAAGAAGCCTGAGAGCTGAAGAATTGAGGCTTTTGAACTGTGGTGATGGAGAAGACTCTTGCGAGTCCTTTGGACTGCAAGGAGATCAAACGAGTCAATCCTAAAGTAAATCAGTCCTGAATATTCATTGGAAGGATTGATGTTGAAGCTGAAGCTCTAATACTTTAGCCAACTGATTCAAAGAGCCAACTCACTAGAAAAGACCCTGATGCTGGGAAAGATTGAAGGTAGGAGGAGAAGGGGATGACAGAGGATGAAATGGTTGAATGGCATCACTAATTCAATAGACATGAGTTTGAGCAAGCTCCAGGAGATGGTGAAGGACAGGGGAAGCCTGGCGTTGCTGCATACCATGGAGTCACAAAGAGTCAGACACGACTGAGCAACTGAACAACAAATCACAGTTGCAGAATGTGATTCACACAATCAAATATCTTGTCCGTATTTATTATCTGCCTTGCATTTGCCCCACCCTTTTGTTGTATTAGTTCAGACTTTCAAATTTATTACACATATCATTTACATTTTCATGAGTGTCCATAAAGTATACAAGAAAAATAATATTTTTTGTTTTTTATATTTATTATATTTTCTATTAGTAATGGAATAAAATAAATAAATAGAATAAATAAAAAAGAATGAAAATATTTATTATATTTTTTATTAGTAAGATAGAAATGTTAGTAAGATATTTCTAGCTTACTAATGAAACTAGAATCAGACTCTTGAGATTATTAAATAGTCATTAATTTACTTATTCATTCAATAAATGATTATTAAATACCACTTATGCCATAGTCACTCTCCTGGGTGCCAGATGCAGAGCAGTGAAGAATACAAGGTTTTTGCCTTATGGAGCTTACATTCTAGAGGAATGCCTTCTACTTCCTATCTCCTTACCTACCTATATGCACACATACACACTTCCATTCATATACAAACAAATGTATACATACATAAAATATAGTATGTTGGATGGTATTAGGGGGTATGGAAAAAATAGAGAGTAGCTAAAAGGGTGATGGGGGATTCAAATACAGTTGGATGATCTAGTTTCCCCAGTCACAATTTACATGGGATTACCAGAAAACACTGCCTGATAAGGTAGATTTAGAGCAGAGATAAGAAAAGTATGAGATCAACGAAGATCTTTTT